GAAGAAGGCATGTAGATACTTAAAGATAAAATTTAAGTTGTCTTTCCTTGCCACTGTCGAAAATAGTTTATATCTTGTTTGAGAACCGCTGCGTTACCGCATCGTTAGCCTGACGCGGTGACGTCAGCAGCACGGCCCGTCAACTGGAGCCGGTCATGGTTGAATGCAGTATGACGTGTTGCTGCAGAAAAGTAACCCTGCTCTGCTTGTCGCTCACCAGTGCCAACAGTTGAATGAAATATATGGTGAAGGTCAGGTCACGAAGTAAGGCCACTATATTGTTAAAATTCTATTCCATCACCAGGAGAGATCCTTTCCCCACCAAACCTAAGTCTACTAGTGATTGACCTAAACTGATTTTAACTTTAGATTTACTTTTAAAAATGTGCCATTGTTTTCTAAAACGTTGACGATCAAACCGTTGTCTAAATTAACACAAGAATTTCTCATACCAAAATTTACAGCTGAACTGAAAAAAAAGCATTTCAGAATTAAGAAACTGAGCTCATAACCATCAAGCCACCAACTTTGAAGGTTCAGCACTTTTAGTAAAACATCGGTAGAGGGGTAGGCAGTTTTATTACCCTAATTTGGAGGACTGCCATTAGTCCGAATTGTAATCTTGAGTCACGACTGGATTTGGGGCGGTGGTGGTAGGAGCCTCCTTGATAGGTTTTTCCCCATGGTTGGCCCCCCTAGGTAAGTTATTGCTGCTGAGGTGCGATAGCTTCGTTGGTTAATTTTATGGGGTATGAAAACGGCACAGTGTGCAGTAGGAGCCCTTTGGTGTATGTAGGGGCAATGACTAAACAAATGGCAACGTTTTAAATATAGTGGAGTGGCAGGAACCTCCTAGACCAGTTCTACCCATAGTGAGTGCTACCGCCACCTCAGCAGCCCCAGCACCCCAAAGGAACAGTTCTAGGGAGCTCTTACCACTCCAACCTGGGGGTGACTCATGTGTCAGCTCTTATACAAGGTAAAATATTATTTGCTACAAAAAAATTATGAAAAGAGACGAACAGAGAATAATCAAACTTGCACTAAAATGGGAAACTAATGGGTTAAGGAAACGAGGACGTCCAAAGAAAATTCCACACGGAAGCTCTTCCGTGGTGTTTCACTACATATACGGCAGCGGTATAGATCAAGATGAGGTAGAGGACAGGAGGGGAAAAAATTCTTTCACAATCTCTTTCGAAAGCTGGGCAATTAATTGAAGTTAAAATTATAAAAGTACGAATAGCTTGTTTGTTTGTGAACAGATGTATGACCTGTCTTGCTCTTTTCCCACTAACGTCAAGCCATCCTAGTCTTTGCCAGTATATCCAGTTCAGACCATGTCGTTTTTGTCAACCAGTCTTTAATTGTTTTCAGCATGTGATGTCGCCCCAACCTCACCCGCTTGTGTTTCTTCTTCCCTGTGTAATAACATGCTGGTTATATTATTCATTCATTGGCACCTTTCCGTCTTTCCCGACGATAGTGTTATATTACGCTATGGGGAGCATGAATGAGAAACACGGCTCACAGCGAGGGCAATTGATCTCGCGTTAAAAGAAGTCTTCTCAAATTATAGCATGGGATTTCTGGACGATCATTGTCATCGATTGCATTATCAGTGTAACACGCTAGGTGTAACAAGGAAAGATCGACTTAGGAACGATAATAGCAGGAGGAGAGTCAACACATGATCAATGCTGAACTGTATCGGTGGACAACATATTAAGTGGTTTGATCACGCAACAAGACTGGTACCAGACATGGCACCACAAACAGAAATGTTATACAAATACAACGGTAACAAAGCCAAAGGTTGAAAAGGCAGAAATAAACCGCAGAAATATCAAAGACACTGAAAAGCACTTTATACTGAGCGAACACAAAGGGTCGTTCCGGATATCTCTTTCTGTGCTGACGCCACGAGGCATTACAAGAGTAGAGAAAAGAATAAGAGAAGAAGATTATGTACACATTCTGTAAATAGCATTCTTATATTTTGATTATGAAACTGTTTTTCGTATGCAAATGCGCATGTCACATGTAACAACTGTCATCACCATTTGTAAATCATCATCATCATGTAGCAGGTCCTTTGCAGAACGTCGCTCTCATCACAGTCTGCCTGTAAGAAACTCGGTCTCTTGCCAGTTCTCCCGCCTCATGAACTTTCACACTCAAGGAGCCACTTATATCCTGTGCCCATCTTCGTGTCGGTCGGCCACTGCCTCTCCTTCCTGGTACCATGCCTTCTGCTATAATTTTTTTCCAATCCGTCGTGGCGCTTGATATGACCAAAATATTTCAGCTTTCGAGAAAGGATGCTGTTTATTAGCAAATCTTCCTTGATATTCAGATCTTTTAAAAGGTCAATATTTCTCATCTTCTTTGTCCAAGATATTCTGAGAATCTTTCTATAGCATTTTAGCTCAAAAGCCCCTATTCTCTTTCTTAAGGACTGAGAGATAGTCCACGACTTACAACCGTATGTAGCAACAGGGAAGAGGCTTGCTCTCAAAATTCTAATTTTTATCTCCTTGCTGGTGCTTAACCATAGACTTTTAAGGCTGTTCAACCATTTGTAAATTGCTCCAACACTGTCAACTGTGTGCTGACAACAGAGACGCAATCTGGCCTGTTCCAACCACAATGAAGACAAAACTGTATGGTACACAAGAGGATATGGATTGCACGATAGCTTTTATAAAGGCTACCGGCCTCCTGATATAAGTTTTCTGACAAAAGGATCGAAGAAGAAGAAGAAGACCACCCAAAAAATACAAAGTGATTACATGGAAGGGTGTCTTTGTTGGTTGTACACTCTCTCATACTACTGTTCATCCTTCTGCTGGTATTGTCCACCCACTTGTATTGTTGTCTATATCTTACTTTCTTGCCTTCCACACCCCTAACCCTTTTCGCCCTTCCAGCAGATACCAATCGACACGCCAGTACACCTTTATTAGTAGCCCCCGAACGTTCCAGCTTCGGCAGCCCTGGTTGAAATCGAAACGCTACTCTCCTGCCTTGGCAGGAAACAATTTCCGAGTGTCCTCCCTTGTGTGAACACAGTCGCTGCAGAAATCAGTCCAGCGACCTTTATCCCTTGATCATCCAAAAGTTGTTTTACCATGTATTCTTCTGGAAGGTTGCCATTACAGCGTTCGGTAGGTCCAGTTGTAACTATTTATAATATAGATGTTTATGATTCTTACAGAATAAATTTATTTCAGTATTGGGTCGATTGAGCCTGAGAAGAAACACAGTTATTCCATTAATTATTATATAATATTACGAATTTATATTTTAACTTATTGAATTTGATGACTGGTCTCTACTAGTAGTACTAGTACTAGAGATGCCCTATGACAAGCTCTGACTACCTACCCCAACCTACAACCTTTTCCTGTCCCAAATAGTTGTTGCAGTAATATAACTTTACTTAAATTGTCTTAATTGTTGCTTTTTGTAACTTTTTCACTTTATAAGTGTTGTTAGTTTACTAACTAACATGTTTACCATTTATTTACACTGGCTCTCCTTTGATCTTCGTCCCCATCCATATTATTATTAGGTTATCCTTCGAATAACGAGCACTAAAGATGGCGGTCGTCTTTAGTGCCCGTTATTCTAAGGATTGCCTATTATTATGTCCCAAATAGTTGTTGCAGTAATCAGTAATATAACTTTAGTTAAATTATCTTAATTGTTGCTCATTGTAACTTTTTAACTTTATAATTGTTGTTAGTTTACTAAAATGATTACCTTTTACACATTTTGTGTTTTTCTAAGGTTGGACCCCATAGGAGCTTTAACCTGGCTTAAGTGCGTCATAATGGAAATCTAAGACAGACAGATGCAGAATAATAAAATAATAATTATTTTATTAGCCGGCATCTGCCCGCATTATTAATAACAATGTTGCTGAACTCCAGATAAATATAGCATATTTGAAGTAATATGAAATATATAAACAAATGTACACAAGGAATTGTTTTGCTGTCTTCCGAATAACGGTCCCAAATTATCAAGGCGGAAAATATATCCTAACAGAGCCTCAGTCACGTGTCAATTGCGCACTTCCGGCGACTTAAACTGCGCACTACCTGGGACTTCCGCCACCGCCGAGAGTATCCCCCAGGCCGCTCACGAGGCGTGGATTGGGGCTAAACTAGATGGCTGGGACTCAACGAGCAGCAGCTACCGCATCTCCTGCAGCTTTTTTCAATTTTATTTGCTCGTGAGTCCTAGCCATCTAGTTTAACCTCAATCCACGCGGTATGGGGAATACTCTCGGTGGTGGCGGAAGTCACATTCTAGTTATGCTGTTCTTCTGTTTTCTCAGTGTGTGTCCTATCCAATGCCAGCGTCTTTTCCTCACCTCTTGGTTGACTGGAGCTTGCTTAGTTCTCTCCCAAAGCTCTACATCAGTTATTCTATCATACCATTTAATTCCCTCTATTCTGCGCAGGCACCAGTTAATGAATGTCTGCAATTTATTTGTACTTGCATTAGTTGTTCTATATATTTCCGCCCCATACAAAAGTACTGAAGACATAGAATAGATTTATACAATATACAGCTCATAGCTTGACAGCTTTAAATATAGTAAATCAAAACTGATAAAAGAGCCTGGTTGTCTGGACTTGAATAGAGGGATTAGAGAGCAAAGACATACCTGACTGCAGCATCTGATGTATCAGCTGAAAGGTATAAAGATCACAAATCTGTATACAGTTTTATAGTTCATACTGTGTGGTGCTGGAAGTCATGTCGATCCACAGCCTTCTGTCTTGTATACTTTCAATCATTTCTGACATATGGTCTTTCTTGCTATGATGTGATGTCAGACTCTTCAGCATCTCCTCTCTTAGTCTCCCTCTGCATCTTTTCCCCTGAAACTTTCCCACTCTCACAATGTGCTCGTTTTCTCCTTCTTTGAACATGGTCAAAAAATGTCTCTTTCTGATGTGGGCAGTCAGTTGCCTTTGTGAGTCAATTTTTTTCAAGACAGCTTCATCACTGTTTTTGGTACTTTTCCTTTAGTTTACCCCATCTCAGGAACTCTGAGGTTTGATCAAAAGTCCAATAGTATAGGGGTGTTAGGGTGTGAAATGCACAGAGTAACACCAACCCTAACCTCATCCCCCATCTCCCATAATATTGAACTTTCCACGAGCTGCCCCACAAAATCTCAGTCCCCAAGATGGGGTGAACTAAAAGAAAAGTATCCAGTTCTTATCTATTCTGGGTATTCTTATCTTTCTCATCAGTTGTGTGTAAAACTACATCTCTGCCGCTCCAGATAATTTGGAAAGACACTACCAACATGTTATTCATGATTAATGAATATCAAAAAGTTGATTTGATTGTTCTTTTCCCACAGAGGTATGTATATGAGTAATAAAAATTGTTTTTATAAATCTAATCCCAGCTAGACTTATTGAAGCGACTCAAGAGCACACTTGTAATAGTTGACCACAATAATGAGAAACTTGCAGCAGTCACACTCAACACAGTGGCAGCTGCATCCAAGATTGGAGGGGAGATATCTTGTCTGGTTCTTGGCACCAAGTGTGCAAAGGTAGGTTGTGAGTTTACTGGTTGTGAGACATAGGCTGTGTGTTTAGATGTTGTGAGACATAGGCTGTGTGTTTACTGGTTGTGAGATATAGTTTGTGCGTTTACTTGTTGTGAGACATAGGCTGTGTGTTTACTTGTTGTGAGACATAGGCTGTGTGTTTACTGGTTGTGAGACATAGGCTGTGCGTTTACTTGTTGTGAGACATAGGCTGTGTGTTTACTGGTTGTGAGACATAGGCTGTGTGTTTACTTGTTGTGAGACATAGGTTGTGCGTTTACTTGTTGTGAGACATAGGCTGTGTGTTTACTGGTTGTGAGACATAGGTGCGTTTATTTGTTGTGACATGTGTTTTACTGTTGTGAGACATAGGCTGTGTGTTTACTGGTTGTGAGACATA